CTTCCCGTCCCGCGACGCTCCAGCGGCGACCATTGCGTCCGACGACCAGCCCGACGCCCAGTCCGATGCCCTCCGGCCCCGCCTCCACTCTGACGTCCGACCCAACGCCCAGCCCGCCGCCGACGCCTCACCCCACGCTCAGCCCAACGCCTGGCTGCACGCCCAGCTCGACGCGCACCTCGGCGGCCAGCCTGGAGCCCAGCTCACCGCTCCTCTGCCCGACACCCACGACATTCTCCCCGCTGGCCACTCCGACGGCCCACCCGACGACCTGTCTGCCTCCTCACCCGACGCTGTGCCCGACGCCGTACCCGACGCCGCGTCCGACGCCGCTTCCAATGCCGCTCAGCCCTGCAGGTCCTCCAGTGACGCCCCACCCGCGCCCGGCCCCACGCCCGACTCGACTCCTTGCCCAGCGTTGGGCGATCCGACCAGTGCCCAGCCTGACGCCCAGGTTGACGCCTTGCCCGACGCCAGACCTGTTGTTGAGCTGGACCCCGACGCCACTAGCAGCAACCCTCCCTTCTTTCTTCACGCTTCACGCGCGCGGGCGCGGCCCGTCATGGGCCGGGAAGAGAGTCCCGCGCGGGCCCGACCGCGCAGCCTCCAGGCGGGCCCAGGCGCTGCTGGAAGCAGCCCCCCCTTGGCTTCACGCGAGAAGGCCGGCGCGGCCTGCGCCGCTTCCCGGCGAGACGCCGACGACAAGTTCGGCGCCCAACGCGGTCAGCTACAGTGCTGGGGCCAGCGAGTGCGAGGATGATGGGCAGCGGCAGGGGACTGAGGATGATGGGCAGCGGCAGGGGACTGAGCCGCCGCCAGTCGGCGCCCAGCCCCACGCGCAGCCCCCCCGCCCTCCCCGACGCCTCGCCCCGTGCTGCGCCCTCCTCCGGGCTGGACTCCCCGCCCGCAGGGGCGGTTGGCGGCGCCCACCTGGGCCTCGCCGTGGACCTTCCCAGCGCTGGCAGGTCGGGTCGCGACGTCGTCTAGGAGCCCAGCCCGCCGCCCCGCCCCACGCCCAGCCCGACGCTTCAGCTGCGTCCGACACCTCCCCCGCGTGCGACGCCCGGCGCCTCGCCCGCGTCCGATGCTTCACACCGCGCCCAGCGCCCTGCCGCGCGCCCAGCTCCACGCGCCCCTTGGCGGCCAGCCCGGCGTCTGCCCCACCGCTCTGCTGGGCGCCCCCGACGTTCTCCCGGACGACCCTTCTAACAGCACCCCCGACGCCCTGCCTGACGTTCAACCCGACGCCGTGCACCACGCCCAGGAACGTGACGCATCCCCCCCTCCGCCCAGCACGCCGACGCCCATCTCCGCTCCAAGCCCCACGCCCCGCCCCCCGACGCTTTTGCCCTGCGCGTCTCCCTCCGTCGCCCGTCGTCTCTCCCGACGCTCGGCCCGATATGCCATGCGACGGCTCGCCCGGCGCCAGGCCTGGTGTTGAGCTGGGGCCCGACGCCATCAGCTACCGTGCTGGGATCAGCCTCCGTCGCCCCTCCCTCCCCCGCCTCCGCCCTCTCTCGTCCTTCCTCTCCCCCTTCCCTTACTTCTCTTGCCCTGCTCCCATTCCGACGATCTTCTGGGCGCCGTGCCAGATGCCTTCTTCGGCGCTCTCCCCGACGCCTGAGGCTGCCTTGCCCGACTCCCCGCCCGACGCCCTCTGCCCCGACGCCTCACCCGACGCCCAGGCCCCCACTCTACCTGTCGCCCTGCCCGACGGCGGCGCTCCGCCCGACGCCATGCCCGAGGCCTGACGCGAGGCTCAGACACGTCTCGGCGGCCGCTGCGCCACCGCTCTCCGGGTGGGACAGCGGTGCTCTTGGCTGAAGGCAGCGCGCTGGGACATGGAGGCGCGTTGGATCCACTTCATCTTACTCGACGCTCCCGAGGATCTACCCCGAGCCGTGCCCGAGGATGTGCCCGGAGCCGCTCCCGATTCCCTCCCCGACGCTCTCCCCGACTCCTTGCCCGACGCCATGCCCGACACCCTTCCCGACGCCTTCCTCCTCGCCCTGCCTGTTTCCCCCCTCGACGCCCTGCCCGCCGGCCTCCCCGACGCTTCGCCCGCTGCCCTGCCCCGCGGCGTGCAGTGCCCGCCGCCCTGCCCGACGGCCATGCCAACGACATCCCCGACACCACTCCCGACGCCCTCCTCGACGGCCTTCTTAGCACACCCTCCGGCTGTCTTCCTGGCCGTCTCCAGGACGCCTCGCCCAGCGCCCAGCCCGACGCCCTGCCGGTCCGCCTCGCCTGCGGTGGCGTGAGGTCTGGGGCGATGGCGCCGAGTCCGCCTCGTCCGTTCAGCTCCCGAGCCCTTGGCCCCCGCCCGCGGCGCCAGCGTCCACCCCGCTTCCGTCCGCGCGCACGGGTGGTCCTCTGGGCCTCGCGGGTGTCGCCGCCCGGGCCCCCGGCGCCTCCTCCTGCGCTTGGCGCCCGCCCGCGGCGACGCCCACTCCCGCGCAGCGCGCCCTGGCCCTCCAGCGCTCCTCTCGGGGCCACTCTGGCCGCTCGAGCACCATCCCCGCTCGTTTTGCCTCGATGCGCGTCGCAGCTCGGCCGACTTCCTCCTCGGCTTCCTCGGCCGAGCTGGACTGGAGCCCCCCCCCCTTCCGTTGCTGCCCCGCCGGGCTGCCGCCTCTTGGCCCGCCCCCCCCAGCGGCCGTCGCCACTGCCGCCGCGGGCGGCCGTGGGCCTGGCCAACGCTGAGCGGCCTCCGCCGCCAGGAGGCCGACGACCGAACCTACGGTTGTGGAAGTCGATCAATGGAGAGGAAGCATGCTGCCAAATCATTTCCAGATGTCTAACAGATGTTTCAAACATGTTTAACATATGTTTAAAACATGCTTGAATCATTTTTGGACCATGCTTTACACATTGTAAACACATCTTTAATTCAATGATAAGACTGTTAGAGTGTCCATTGTAATGGCATCTACAAACCCACGGCGCAGGCCCCGCCTGGGATGGCGGCACCCGCTGGCGCCCGTGCATTCACCCCTGGCGCCAGCAGCGAGGAGCAGAACTCACGGAGAAGCCACTGGAGCGACTAGGAGGACCGCCCGCCCGACTCTGGCCAGGCAGGCCATCACGGGGGCCCCCCACCCCCGACAGCGCGGTCACCGAAACCCAAACCGGGGCTTCGCTCGCCTGAGGCTGCGGAGTTACCGGTTCCAGAGCCCTTTGCTGCTGTGCACGCCGTCATTCCCGCCGCCACGCGCACTGGGCGACCTGCCACTGCAGCTCCTCGTGCAGGGATGGCAGGTACGCGAAAAAACGGAAGCGCACGCTGCGCCAGCGGTGGCTCGCCTTCCTGCTGCAGCGCCTCCCCGGTCAAAGCCTGCGGGTTGGCGCCGTCCCGCACCGCGACAGGGGCATCCTTCTTTCCTTCCCGGAGGCGCTCCCGGCGGAGGGCACACAGCTACGGCCACCAGGGCACACCCTGGAAGTCGACCCCGCCCCGGAGTGGATCCATCCTCCGGCGAGGGCACTGGTGGGGTCGAAATCTGGGCGAGGGCTGCTAAAACCGTGGCTGCTAAAACGGCCCTCCCGGAATGAAAAAACAACCTCCCGGAATGAGGCGCGGCACGCGAAACAGTCAACGGGCTTCTTCCCGGAAGGACGAAGACAACTTCCCGGAGGTCGATTTTAGCAGCCACGGATTTAGCAGCCCTTGCCCGGCTTCCGATGGGGATTCCTCCCCCAGGCCCGACTTCGTCGCGCGGTCCTCCCAGGGACATCACACACGCGGTCCCTCTCGGGACTTGTCTCGGCCGCTTGCTCGACTTGCTCCTCCTCGTCGCTGCGCGCGAGGCCGCGATCGCCAAAACAGTTCGTGTGTGTGTTGTGTGTGTGTGTGTGTGTGTGTGTGTGTGTGTGTGTGTGCGTGCGTGCGTGCGTGCGTGCGTGTGTGTGTGTGTGTGTGTGTGTGTGTGTGTGCGTGTGTGTGTGTGTGTGTGTGTGTGTGCGTGTGTGTGTGTTTGTGTGTGTGAGTGTGTGTGTGTGTGTGTGTGTGTGCGTGGGTGTGTGTGCGTGCGTGTGTGCGTGTGCGTGTGCGTGTGCGTGTGCGTGTGCGTGTGCGTGTGTGTGTGTGTGTGTGTGTGTGTGTGCGGTGTGTGTGTGTGTGCGTTCATGTTTGCGTGGGTGCATGTAGGTGAGTTTATCGCCGCGACGCAGAGCAAACGGCTGCCGACGCAAATGTTTGTGTGGCTTGGTTCGCGACGGTGGTTTTATTGCGCCAGTGCAGGGAGAGTGCGTGCGTGTGTGTGTGTGTGTGTGTGAGTGTGTGTCTTCGTTCGTTCGTTGCCCGCCGCCAGTGGGAGCTTCGTAGCGTCATACCAACTCCGCCCATGCCGCCCTCCGAGCAAGCAGCGGTGGCGGCGGTGGCTGAAGGGGAACTGCGTGGGTGGGCCGAAGGGGAACTGGTTGGTTGGCTGAAAGGTCACCCAACCAACCGTACATCGACCTCGCACCCCCACAACAACCTCCAGTTCTTTACATATTTTGATCCACGGACCGTTTTTGTTACCGGTTCTTTGTTGCAGTTTGTTTTGTCGGTTCCCGCGCAGTTTTTGTCCTTGGCTCCGTCGATTGTTTTGTTTCCAGTCCAGCTCCAACCCCAGAGTTTTTTACCGTTTCCGGGAGCAGTTTCTTTTCATGCTCCAAAGACACGACAGACAAAAACGGCCTTGCCGTTTCCAGGGGGCCATTGAGATCAAATGGGGCGCAAACGACTGTTGCCAAAGACGCGCGTCGCATCACACGAGCACGAATTAGCTCCATCGACGCGACCAGACGGGCGTGCGTGCATGCTTCCGTGATGTGTTGCCCGCTGTGGCGTGGAAGGTGGGACAACCCATTCCAGGTAGTTGCCGCACCACAGCGCGCGACTCCGCACAAGGGCTCGCCTGAGCATGTGGGCGCGTGGGTGGTGAGAACGCGCGCGCCTCGAGGCAGAGGGAGGCCAGGGAAGGGCAAGGGCAGCAGCCGCTCTGGCTCGGGCGCCACCTCGCCGGCGCGGGCGCAGCCCACGGGCGAGCCCGACGCGACGCCCACTGAGGGCCATGGGCATTGGGCGCTGGGCGGCTCCGCGGCGCGGGGCGTTGGGCCTGGGGGCCGCCCAGGCCCAGGGCTCGAGGTAAACGGTCATTCGGTGATGTCGTGGACCGTTTTCGTTTCAACTTTCTTTTCGCAGCACGGGCGGGACGAAGACGGAACGAGGGACAGCGACGACAACACGAACACGGCAGACATTGTTTAGCTCGAGCCCTGCCCAGGCCCGTGAGCAGCCTGGCGCATGGCGGCGCGCCCCAGGTCGGCCGCCGCCCGGCGCCCCTCGGGCGCGCGGCGGCCGAGCCCGGCTCGGCTGCGGCCAGTGGCACCGCTGGAGGCGGGCAGGCCCTGCACGCTGAAGTACCCGCCGCGCCGGGCTGCCACGCTGGGCGCCCAGGCTCGTGAGGGACTCGTCTGTCTTTGTCTCTCGTCGTCTTCGTCTGGTCCGCCCTCCCCTCTGTTTACCAGCCTGGAACATATCCCTATCCCTATGCTGGGCACCTCCTCATCATCACGATGCCAATCTTATGGATTCCCTTATTTTTTTGAGGGCGGATCCCTAAGATTGTCATGGCCTTTTGGCGTGTCAATCTTAGGGATAGGGATACGTTCGAGGCTGGTAATCTGTCTCTTCTGTCTCCCCGCTTCCCCCTGCTCCGTCGCTTTCGCCCCCTCGGCACTGCCGTCACGAGCGCGCTGCAAGGTTGAATCGTGGCAGGCTGTGTCGATGGACGGCGCGCCATTGCGCAAAGCTCAGGCCCAGTCGGCCGACGTTGTGCGTGTCTCAGGCTTCGGGAAAGGAAGACAGGAAGTCATGGTCGGGACGAGCAGCGAGGTGGACATGGAGAGATTGGGCACGAAGGCCGACAGCCGTTCCTGTCCGCTCGGGGCCGGGCTCGCTGTCCGCGCCGCCGCGGGCAGCGTCCTTTTGGAGACCGAAGGCCGCCTGCCAAACGGCGGCCGCTGTCGGTTTTGGGTAACACTTGCTGCTGGGCATCGTGCCCAGTTTTTCGGTACCCATCTTCGGGCGTCGAAATAGGGTTAAGCCAGGCCTGTCCCTCTACAGGAGGAATATTCAAAACTAGTCAAACAATAACTAGTCTGGGGACGATGTTGTTTGACGATGTTTGCATATGTGGGGGTATGTTTCGACTATTTCTTATTTTTCGTCCAGAATCCCCCTGTAGGGGGACAGGCCCGACTTGACCCTGTCGCCCATTCGTCGCCGATAGAGATCCAGCAGCCCACCGCGACCCAGGAACGCGCGGATGCTCTATCGGGGGCCTGCCGCCGATCTTTCAGGAGGGGAAGAGCACACGCAGACACAAAGAATCGTCGATTCCCCAGAAAATATGGGAAACTATGGCAAGTTGGGGGGGAAGACAAACACCCAGAAAATCTGGGAAGATACGGGGAATCCTGTTCACTGTGTGTATAAATTCGTGTGCCCCAGAGCCCCTTCACTCTCGATGCATCGCCGATCCCAGTCCAATAGTCCCCCCCCCCCTGAGCTGGCTCCCCCCTCTTGGCATCGCTCGGACGTGTGCATTTTTCCTTCGGCGAGGGCCATCGAGGAGCATCCTTGATCGAAAACACGCACGAAACCATGCCTTTTCCATCGGCCAGCGAAAAAAACACGCGCGAAACCGAAAAAAAACACGGGGAATGGACGTCCGTGAGCTGGCTCCCCCCTGGCGTTCCCCCGCAGCTCGGCTGCGCCCAGGAGCGCAGACCTCCGACGATCTGACTTTTTTTCCATCCGGGCGCTTCTCCTCGAGTTGTTCGCCCTCCAGGGTTAAGTCGGGCCTGTCCCTCTACAGGGGGAGTACAGTCGGGGCCTTGAAGAAGGAACGCTTTTCGTTGGGGAGGGGCTCGGTGTTCCTTGATTGTTTTACAGTTTGCCTCGGGTTTCCGTTAGGTTTTTGCATGGGAAATCGAAGTTCAACTTATGGAAAAGAGGAGGTCAACGCCCCGACTGTATCCCAAAAAAGTAAAACAATAGTATGGGGACTATTTGTTTTGAGCATTTTTTGAAATATGTCTGAGCATTTTTGAGGTACTCGTCCAAAATCCCCCTGTAGGGGGACACGCCCGACTTAACTCCGGGGCCCGTTTTCAGGCCCAGGGCCATCAGACATGGATCCATGGCGACGAAGTGGGCCCAGGGAAGCGGTCGGGACCTCGTCGGGGCCGCGCACGGAGCAAGAGCCGCCTCGGCGGATGTCTGGGAGAGAGGCGCTTCGCCGAAGTGGCCTCTTGGTGCGAGCCCACCCCAGACCTCCTGGCGTCGTGAAAAAATCACGACGGGGGGGTTTTCGCTATTTTCGGCCTTCGGGGGCCCTCCCCGGGCCTCGGGAGCGTCAAAAAACGATTCAGGACGAAGAACTGGTCCAGGGGAAGGGGTCCAGACCTCTGGGGGTCGACGTTTTGAAAAAATCACGACGTCGGG